AAGATTATTAGCTATAGACACAGATATAGTATTTTATATATTTTGACTGTTTGTTGTAGACGTTATTCTTGTCGCGTGACTACAAAATATACTTTATTTAGCACAATTTAATTTTGTGGTTTTCTGTTTAGGAATCATTTCTCATTTATAATTACTTATAAACCGTTATCGGTTATCGTGTTTAAAACTATTCAATTTTATGGATTTTGCTCATAAACATATTATATTGTAGACAATAAGTAAAAGCAACATAAAATTGCCTATTTATATCCCCTTAAACTCTATTTGCTTTCTAAGATTTTTTTCTAATCTATGATTAATATGGCAAATTTATCTTAAACAAACCAATTTTGTATTGTTAGCTCTAATTTTAGAGTTGAATTGATCTACTACCAAACTTGAAAATGAAAACATAATCTATGTTTGCGCGTTGTAAAATTCAATCGTTATACATACTCATTACTTTTATCTAGTTGAAATGTCGTTAAAAGGCAACTTTAACATTTAGATAATGTTCTTAATTTAAAATTTTGATAATATTCACTCTTATATTAAAGTTAATAACTCAAGTTTGGTTCTGCTGAATACAAATTTTCTATGTTACGTTTGGGTCAGATAAAAGATAAATAGTGCTCTGACCTCCTCTTTCGATGACAATTTTCACCTCTTTTAACAAAATATTATACAAATATAGGTTGGTGGAGTTATCAGTTATATCAATAAGACAAAAAATTTATGTATACTAATTAATAAAGATAAAAATAAATCTCAGATATTACAAATGTAACAGTGGTGGAAAGGTATCCTAAATAGATGGTGGATGGCGATTAATATTGATGATAGTTTGATACAATAAAAAAAATTGTTGAGATAAATTGGCAAAGCATCTTTTAATGGTACTAATAATACTATGCGTAATTGCCCAATAATTATATGTGTCACGTGCTTTGCTAAAGAAAAGAATATAAATCTACCTAGACGGTATGAAAATTGTATCAGTAAACGGTCTTTACTCTACCGCCTACTTAAGTGCAACGACGAGATAAGCACGCGATGTTTTTCGTGCACGACTGGTAGTGGCACCGACTCAAACAACTATTGTAGCAAATACCAAAAATTTCGAAATAAACGTTATTTAGAAATTTATCGCAAACTAGCCGTTTTCAAGAAGTTGAATACTGTAAGTGCACGTGTAATAAAGTAATGTTGATGTGTTGTTCAACACAATCGCACAGTAACGCGCTTAATCGAGCATAACTTTTTGACTTTTGTTAAATAGTCTTTATCAATGCGGCTAGAAATCTAAAAGTGCGTTTAAATTATCCAATATTCTACGCAGCGAAATTTACTTCCCCACTTGTCTATGTAATCGTTTCTATCATTTAAATATGTTAAAATATGTTAAATTACGATGATATCTATGTCGAGTAAACTGTGTTTTCAGCAGTCCAATGTAACAGTGAATCGGTTAACAAAAAAACTGATACCTTTATGTTTCGGTAAAAATAAATAGGTAGTAGGTACCGATTAACTCAAAAGTTAAGAGTTAAGACCATAACCTAAGTGAAGCGCGACATGTTATCGCGTGCAAATAAACAAATAATGATAATTGAAGCAATTATGCCGTAGCCTTTTAAAAGTTTACAGACTACATGCAGTTGCGATAAGATAGTGTACTCGTGTGCATTAGTGTACTTACTCGAAATATTATCGTTATGTTGAGATCCGTCGTACTGAGTAATCTCGTTGGCATCTTGGTCATCATCCATTCCACCTAGAAACAAGTGTCTTAAGCATAAGAACGCGTGAACCAAGTCCGTGCAGTTTTGTTAATTAAAGGTTCTAGAGTTTAGATACTTTGGCATATTAAAATAATTTTTCTTAAAGTATATTCAAGCTAATAGAACAATGGATCAATGTTAGATATAAAAATATATTTATTTGGTATTTGGGCTTTTAATTCTTACGATATTCGAATATTAAAACAATAACTATTTTCTTTTTATTCGTAAGTTATAAATCAAATTAAAACTCCTACGTCTAAAAATAAACATCGTCAATACTTGGATACCTAACAATAAAAAATAACAAACGTTTTCGAAAATAACTCAGAAATTAAATGACATGTATTTTGGCATCAATAATTTGGTGAGTAGCTCAAGTATGGTTTTACGATCGTAGGACTATTTTTGTCTTGTAAAAGTTTCAACGTATAATGACTCGATAAAAATATATGCTAACATTTAAGTTTTATTCGACGCCATATTGCGTGTTTGCACTTTATCCTTACGCCACCGCGTTATCTATTCTAATATATTCCGAAATAATAAACTTTGCGTTCGTGATTTTAATTTACCATTAATATTCTTTTCGAGTTTTAAAAGTTTTATTCAGTAAATAATTCTTTGGATAATGTTTTTTATATATAAATCTATTTAACTTAAAGCTATTTTAATCTATAATATGCAAATGTAAAAATAAATACTAAGCGTGTGTATAATGGCAGTGCAGTGCATAAGAATCAAAGAGTCTAAGGCAAAATATCACAGCAAGAATATCTGATCGGTGTCAGATACGTCAGAATATTAAAAACGTTTAACAACTGAAACTATAATATGAAACGTATAAATTAAAAAAGATAATGATTTTTAATATTTATTTATGAAACGTATAATAAGGATATTAATTATTATTCAATTCAATCAAATTTTATGAAAATCTAATTTATTTCTACTATAAATTGCATGAGACGTATATGAAATCTGTATGGAAAAAACCATTAAATTTTAAAAGGACGATATTATTTGATCTTGGTGTATATGCCGTTAGAATAATAAAAGATATCGATGACTTTAAACCGTAAAACCAATATCGAACTGTGAGGATTGTTAAAGCTATAGTATATTATAGTTAGGGATATTTTGACATGCAGCCGATTTATACAAGGCACATAATAATAACACAGAAAGTTAAAATGTTTTACGGGCGTCACCGTTTTTCGCCAAAATCGACCTTTCCATTTACCGCCAGTACAATAATATATACTTTATTTTTTCGTCAACACAAATTTCAGTTTCTATATTTTCGTAACCCTCGATTGTAATAATCAAGAACTAAAATATTATATTATATACCTACCTATACTTTATCACGTAGATAATATGTCCATAATCATGTTTTTTCTCCATTAATAGAAAATAGAGGAAAAATTACGCTCGAAATTTATGCGACAACTAACAATAAAGATAAAGCGTTACAGGCCTGATCTTTTATAGATTTTACGATACCTATAACATTTTAATTTATGTTAAAGTTCGTGAAAAAAGAGTACCTACGCTCCGCATGATCGAAATTATATAATTGAAAGTATAATCTTGGTAAAAAGCAGTTGATTTTAAATAATTTTAAATTTCACATTGGTTCATGTAATAAAGAATTTATTCTTTGGCGGTGTACAACTAAAAACTGTACAGCACAAGTTTATACAGATAAAAATAATACTGTTATTAATAATATAAATACACCAAAACACAATATTCCAGTCAAGCATTGAAGAAGCAGTTGCTAAATACAACATGTAAAAGAAAAGCTATTGAAAATATAAGTACCAGACCAAAAAAAATTATTCTAACTGAAATCGCTAAAAAAAATAGTAATTCATCAGATATTAACGATATAAATAGAGTTAGAAAAAATATTAACAAAAACCGACGCAAAATTATGCCTCAAAATCTTACTAATATAGCTGATGCTCATAACGTACTCAATTCAATTGACGTAAAAACCAAACAAAATTAAATATTTTTATTGATTTATGACGAAAAAGAAAATGTAATAATAAATAAATGTAAAACAAATCTTTGATTTTTATCAACAGTTGATAATATTTTATAAAGACAGAACTTTCAATTATAGTACTCGGTTTTTTTTATAATTTTTTTCAATTCATGAATATTTTAATGGTCACTATGTTCCATTAAATTTTTGCTTTAACCCAATCTTATGGTACCGTCAAATACAAGAAATTGGCTTATCGAGTGATTATAAAGACGTGTCATCTGAAATGGTTACACAGTATATTTAACTTATTATTTCTAAATTTGGAAGATGTAAGACTTTATGAGCAAGTGTCCAATTGATAAAAGGCTACAAAATTTTGCTGACTATTTTATAGAAACATATATTATCCTCCAAAACTTTGAGAACTTGCATCTTCAGAACTTACAAGCACAAAAAACGCCTGTGAGTCATTTCATGCACATTACAAAAATAGTTTTTATCGACATTCGCTATTTTTTTTACAATGGTTAAATGTTTTAATCGAAGAAGTCCAAACTGACATTTATTGCAAATTAAGAAGCGTCGGCAAACAAAAAATACCACGAAACCAAATTTTAAGACGACAAAAAAAAAAAAGTCAATGTTTAATTGATCAGTATAAAAGCGGAGAAATATGCCGGTAATAAATAATATCGATAAATATTTGACTGTGATGTTGTTTTTTATGTCGTAATAAAGACTTTTTCGTAATAACATTATACGCAATATTGTATTAATAATTGTAATAATTTCAATTTTAAGTATTGCTTGAATGTATTTTTATAAAAACATATATTTAGTTAATAAACGATTACTTAATTGTTTTTGTTATTTTAAAAATCATTGCCAATTATCAATAACTCAACATGTTTTCATAGTAAGGAGTTACCGAAATAAAGAAACTGAAAATTGTGGCGGTGGAAAAAGGAAATACATAATATTATTGTACCGGTGGTCAACGGAAAGGTCGATTTTGACGGAAAAGTAGATCGCCCGTTTTGCGATAAACGCAACAATGGAAATGGCACGAAACTATATAATATACTGCGTGCAAAAATAAAACGAAAGCTGTGATTTTACGCGAGGTGTATCAGAGGGTGATCGGAAAATATTTCGAAAATCCTGCAGTTGACATTCGATTCGAGTTTTTCCAATTCAAAAATTCTGAGCCGACGATCAAAACGATACGTCAAGTATAATATTATGTATTTGTTCTGCGTTTCGTAGTTTTTGAGAAACGATAGGTAATTACACCGGCTAACAATGCCAAGTACGAATCACAAAATATGTGTCATGTATGTACGACGTACGTATACCATTATTGTAATATCGTACGCGCTATAATGTCGTTTCATCCGACCTGACGTCGTATAATAAAATTATCATTAGGGCTGGGATTTTATACCTCTCTAAAATATCGTATAAAATGCTAGTACGACTTGAAAATCTCAAAGTTGCATTAAAAATGTACCTATTTACCGATGGCGTTACAAGACACCAGAACAAAAAAATGATATCGCATAAAAATCCCAGCTCTAATCTATCATCATCATAATCGTCGTCGTCGTCGTCGTCGTTTCGTACGTACCGGTAAATACGGTATCCGCCGACCAGTCAGACCATCCGTGAACGTTTCGAGCCCTAAGTCGGGCCACGTATGTGGTGCCCCGTTGCAGGATAATTGGCATGGTCTCGGGCACGCCGGCCGGCTGTTGCTGTTGTTGTGGTTGAATGTCGCCGCCGAACAAATAGGACAAGGCGTAACGGCGCTCGTCGCCCGCGCTGCTGCCAGTAGACGATTCGACCACCTGTGGCTGCGGCTTGATTTCCAACCAAGAAGCCTGCGAATCCTGTAAAAAATACGTACAATATACACGTGTTATAACATAAATAGATAGACGACGTTGATAGTCGACCGTATTGTAGCGTGAGTAGTCGTTTTTTTTTTTTTCATAATTGTACTTATAATTATAAGAGTCACTACTTCTTATTTTACAACTCATTTACTTGGTGTACTTATAGAATAATAGATTAATAATAGTTCATGATAATAGGTCTTGAGAATATAGTATGGGGGCTATATTATGACCATATTAAAATTGTGGCAATTAATATTAATTCGTAAAAAACTTTAATCCGAGTACTCATATACGAGTACTAGAGTATTATCATAAACGACGACTTTTTACTTGACAATTATTTTATAATTTATGTCAAACTATTATTATTATTTTTAGTACGCTTACGTTGAATTAAAAAAAAACTCCTAAACTAATTGTTTGAACTTTGATTTAGACGCGTCAACATTTTCAAAAAAAAAAATCATATGTTTAACAATTTACAGTTGAAAGGGTGGTATTATCATTCGAAAAAAAAGCGTGGTGCCACTACAAGACAATCCTGGTAAATTTGTTACTAATATGCAATAACATTTTTGATTTGGCACCACAGACGACAGTGACAAATATGAAATAATGTCTATATAAAATGACGTACATACGTATAATATTATTAGCATATTATCAAACCTGTTGTCGTCTGTACTGCAACTCGTACTCGATCAGTGGTGACCAACTGTCTACGGTCCACCCCAGTTCGGGAGCTTTGCCTTCGACTTTCACGTATGACGATAGTGGTCGAGCCGGTGTACCTATAACGGAAAGAAATAATTTTCGATTTTTGAATTGCAGTGTTGTACCACACGGCGGAGATGGTATATAGTATATTATAATGATAGGCACGCGAGGTATACGTGTATGATATCATGCAGAGGAATGTATATTTCGTACCAGTCAACGTTATGTAATCCGAATAAGTGACGCCAACACGGTTTTCAGCTCGACACCGGTACCGACCAAAGTCTTGTGGTCCTTGCACTTTGTTCACTTTGAGTATGAAAATGGATTTGGTCTGCTTCGCGGTTGAGTTCATTGAGCCCTGTAATAAGGTATTGCTGGTCGGTGGCTTGAAATCTTGGTACCGGCTGTTGGGGCCTTCGACGAGCACGGGTGTCGACGACTGCGGTCCGTTCGCGTTCGGTGTTTCCTTTTCCCACGTGACTTTCACCTTGGGGAACGCTTGCACGGTACACATCATCTGAGCGTCGTACGTTTCTCCGGTGTTGACAACGAGCTGGGGCACAACAATTTCTGGCGCGACTGCGGCAGAGAACGACACCGATTAAACAAAACCAACGGCGAAAACGGTAATAGGTAAGTACACTTATAATATAATAATTATATACAATACTATTTTAAAGTATTAAAATAATTTTATTGGTTGCGGTATTGGGCACTTTTTCAAATGCTTTATCGAGTCAAATATTTAAAATGTGTTTTTTATTAGCGTTGAATACTTTAATTTTTATTATAACAATTGAACCCAAACCATGATTATGTTAATGTGTTATTAAAAATGAAGTTATTAATTATATTATTGATACAAATTACGAATTAATATTTCGAAACAAAACATAATGGCTATAATATGTAACACATAACGCCTTTAAAAAATAATTTAATGTATATTTATATTTAATCTATATTTTGTATAAATTTAAAACAAATATACATATTTTTTATTTTAAATGTATTTTAATTTTTAAAGAATATTTCACGTCGATGTATACAACTTACACTCGATTTCCACTTCTATTGTCTTATGTGAGGCCTCTGCGTTGGTCCCTCCCGACACGGATCCCGTGGTGATGCTGTTGTGCGCTGAGCACTCATATAAACCGGCATCGCGATACGCAGCAACAGAGTCGATACGAACCTCATTCGTTTTCGAAACGACTAGCTGCGAGCGAGCCGATGATACAGAATCCGGCGCCTTTTGATCATGATCCAAAGACGATATAGTCGATTGTTGCGATTGCTGGTCATATTTAGGCTGTACATGATAAATCACACAACGGATGTATTGACAAACCAGTAATTTTGTTGACAAGCTCAAAGCGTTACCTTTTTGGTCCATTGCACCGTAGGCTCCGGGTACCCTGCCGCGCTGCATACGAGTAGCAAGGGATCACCTTGTTTCACGGTCAATTTTTTTGCCGAAGTCAAACTCCCTGAGGGACCCATAGTTTGCACTGACAAGACTTTAGCCGGATCTGCAAGTAAAAATAACATTACGTAATACATTCACAAATGATGTCAAAAAATAATAAATATAACTATATTGATCACTACGAGTGCCGGTTATATGGACGTGCGGCGTTATTGTAAACGGGCGGTATAGCCTTATAGCCGTCCCCCCCTCGTCGAACCTCTGAAAAATCACTCGCAATATGAGAGGCGATAACTTACGCGACGTCCCAGCGACAAACATACTTAACACATTAATTCCCGTTCACCCCGAAATGAAAAACCAAACAAAAATCTTATCTACGCGACTACACCGCAGACGACGCCAGACCGGCGCTCGGCGCAACAATGCGGAGAGAGCAATAAAATATACAGATAAGTACTGACGTGTGACACGCAGGGTATGGGTTATCTCAACGGGGGGTGTTGATGTTATCCTGCACGTGTAGTATCCAGAATCCATCCGCGTCACTTGTTCAATGATCAGTGTGTGTTCCTGGAATTCTGCAGATGTATCTGACTGTTCTCCATGTTTGACCCTCGGGTCTGTAGTCACGGCGAAGTTGTCCGTCATTATACTCTTGGTGCCATTGATCCACAATACCGCGTACTCGTCCGCTATGTAACACACATGTAACGAAATCATGCAATGGTTTCAATACGTCTACATATTTTTATTTATTTATTTTTTTTTTTTATGGAAATAAACATTGCAGGATTGATACTTGGACAAAGAGCATTACTGTCATCTAAGCTAATGCATTTGTAAGCCATAGTATAATATTTACGTATTAATTTATGTATACACACTATATATATATATCAAATGAATATGCAGTATTATACTATATAAAATAAATAATATACATTCATTCATTCATTAATTATTTACCCGTATAGTTCAAAGTTCAAACTTGAAGAAATACGTAAACACTTATTACTAATAAGTTATTAGTTAAGTATCGTCATTGATGAAAATAGCTAACATTTTTTGGGGGGAGGAGAAGGGGATTGAAGTCCCAATTTATGTATTTTTTTTTTTGTTTAACGTGTGGCGTAGAACCCCGTCTGTGAATATATATTATTTATCAATGTACAAATAAAAATTATTATTTATAAAAATTACATAATTTATATTCGATGTCTGTTTTATATCTATTAACCAACACATTACACATATATATCTGTAGTCAAATATGAAATATTACATGGTCGGGTCATAATGTCATATTATTATTCTCTTACCATATTTTCTACGGAAAACAACAATTCTTATCGTCTCTGTTTAATGTTTATATCATTTATCAGAAATACTGTACCACAAAAACAAAATTTTAAATTACTTTTTATTATATTTTTCAATACACATTTTTTATTAAGTTTGATTTCAAAATTATAGAAAAACATATACTGATGACTTATTATTTAACCACTGCTTTATGAAGACTTGATTTCGGGTGACTAGGCATAGTTTTTGGAGATCTATGTCCCCCAGCCCCCCTTTTTATTTGCGCTATGATTAGAGCAAGTAAAAATGAAAAAATATCTACATGTATTTTAAGACATATCGAATATTATACATAATAAGCTACGTAAACGTAACTGACAAAAATACGCACATATTATTACTATCCTGTGGTACTTACCAGAACCGTTGACAACCTTGCAAGGTAGATTCACCGTTGTGCCCTCGATAGTTTCTACCACAAGTCCCGATGTCTGTATGACGGGCAATGTAATGCTACTAGTATCGTCGACTGATGTATCTTGACCTTCCGTATTCTCATCTTCATCGCTACCGACACCGTCGGATACATAATCCGTGCTTTTATCATTTCGTCGTATTCGCTCCAGCCGGTGGTAGTCGTCTTCTCTTATGGTACGGCATTCACCTGTAGAAAACCAAAAACAACAATTAGTTATACATGTGATAACATCAATCTAATATTTTAAATATAATTATATAACAATACAATATCGGATATTGTATAAACACGAGTCGGTGGGCTGGTGAATGTGGTTAGGATTAACAACAATTGATCCCAATTAACCTAGTGCTAAAAAACTACTCAAAATGTAAGTATTTGTATCAATAAATAACTTATGGTAGGTATATAATATAATGTATATTTATAAAAGTTAATTCATTTTTTTGTTGTTGGCATATAAGACACGCGCAACAGACATTTCAATACAAACGTTTCAATTTTTCATGGCATCTCTCTTCTCAGAAATATTTCCTATCCTTGACTATTTTCTAGCCAAGACGATGAGATCAGAGCTGCCTGTAGTTTATGTTGGGCGAAAAATCAAAAAAAAGCGGTACGATACAATTAAATGTTTTAAAAAAAAATTGGAACGGTGCCGTAACTATAACACACCTGTTTACGTTATTTTTAAAATTCACAATAATAATTTACTATTGTTGTAATTATTTTTAAACTGAACTCTACTCGTTAAAAACGTAATACTATTTTCTCCGGGGTGCTTTCGAAATGTATTACTTTAATTTTTTTTCATTCAATCTATTTAAATAATGTCGTAATCTTAGTTAGCTATTATTGCGGTACCGCTTTGTATACGCATGTCTGATAAAATATTTTAAACTCGACGGCCGAGAAACACGATGCCGAAGGAATTTCATTGACTATATGATTATGCGATTGCTCAACTACAATTCTCAATCACTCTGCATTGTCCGTGTCCTATATATCAACTCGTAATCAATAGTACTTGGTACAATACCAACACATTATAATATGATTTCAGCGCGCTAACGGGTGAACAGGACGACGTGTGGAGGTCGTGTCGTCCTCCGTCATCCTGTTTGTCATTTATCTATAACGGAATAGCGTGTTCCGCTAACTGTGAATGAAAAACTTTTTAAAAAACACACGCCGCGTCGCATTTCGTGACGCGTTCGGTCTCGTCGCTACAATCGCCACGGCGGTTCCTTATACGATCTGCTGTGACGCACGTGCACCGCCGAGACGCTCTTCCGGATTGTCGTCGGGCGACGCGCGAATATCAAAAACCGCCGAGGCGTCGGCGGTGGCGGGAAAACTCGAGCGCGGCCTCCGACGGCATTCCTCGGCGCGAAGACGTCCGCGGCACACAATACCAAAATACCATTATTATAATTATCATTATTGTCGGACAGACGGCATAACTCTGTTACTATTATTGTTATTGTTTTTCCGAGTCCGATTGTTATACACTCGACACATCGACGGCGGGGGGGGGAGTGTATTATTATTGTTGTGTTTCATTGGCGGCGGATTGCCGTCGACAATAATAATGATGATACTTATATAACAGAGGCGGCGGCGGCGGCGTAGAAAGAAACGCAGCAGCAGACCACCGCCTCCACCACACGCTCGCACGCACACAAGCCACAGTCGTCATGATAGAAATAATAACAACATTATTATTTATGATTATTATTATTTATTATTATTATCGACTGGAGCCGACGAGCGGGTCGTGGTGCGCCTCGGAGATCTCTGGTCGCGAGCACCGCCATTTGAATGTCAAACGAGACGTGCGTCTAACGAACGGTAATCGCGTAATAATTGCGGCCGTTTATACAAACGCGGCAGACATTATAATGTATCGTAATAATTGCCGTGTTTAAATATTATTATTATTATCATTATTATCGGTACGTGCGAGCGTTACGAAAACCGCACTGCGTGCACTATAGGCATACGTTATTTTATCGTTTTTTAAATAACAATAATAATCATTATAGTACGACTGCCGTACCGCGACGACTTGGACGAATTCGCGCGCGCGAAACCCAAACTTTGGCCGCCGGCCGAGATCGGGTTTCGCTCGTGAACCCGCGTCGTCGTCTGAGGTCGGTCGTAGAGGAAGTTTTTTTCGTGTAAGCACATCACGATATCGTCTTGCGCGTGGTGTGTCTACCCCGATCGAGCGACCGCCGCCGAAACGGCCGACCGACCGGATCACAATACACGCAAGCCGATCACCCCTTCGACGCCACAATTGCTCCCCCCCCCCCCGTCAACTAGACGCCGCAACCCCTGCTGCAATAGACTTGAACAGCCGACGAGGGCGTAGCCCGCCCGCCGGAGCGAGACGGCCACATCGCCGCGTATAATTTAATTAACTCGGCGGCGTGTACACAATAAAATATACTGAGCACATAACAATATAACATATAATAGGCAGTTGTATTGTGATGTTATACGCTGTATATATATATATAGAAAACGCGGGCGAAAAGCACACGTTGTCGGTTAAGGGCGTAGTCTCTGCAGGCCCGCCGCCGATTTGTTCAAACAACAACCCACACCACTTCGACGTCGTCATCGTCGTGTAATGCCAAGTCTCCCGTACAAAAAACTCCGCTGGGGTGAAGGGGTTGTCCGTGCCGATAAGTAATTGAACGTCGGCCCCGCGGCGCACAACTCGCGCACATATCCCAGAGGCGTTGCCGCCGCGACCGACCCAGTGACCTTTCGGCGACCGGCTCGTTTCCAAAGACGTATACGCAGCACGGTTCTGGTCGTGACGAAATGTCAACGGCGGTGCAAATGCCACAGCCGTCGGATATACACCACTATATAGGCACGCGGCCGCCTATATTCGCCACCTTTGATCGCGAGACGTCGCGAGGTTCGATGACCTGCGGGACGACGACGCCGCCACCACCACTGTCGTCCGGGAAGGAGGGGGGGAAGGAAAAGAAACCGAAATTCCGTGGCGTTCACATCGTGTAGACCGTTTGTTTTTTTCGTGAATATCAATATCGTATAATATGTTTCATAAAATTTTTGACGTTCTCAGTCGGAGGCGGGGGAGGGAACACACACACGATATCATATACGCATAACGACGTGCTCTCTTCGCCGCCCGACGCAGCACCGTCCACCACCACCACCACCACCACCACAAGTACCACACGTGAATGGGTTTTTTGTTTTCGCGACATCCGGAATTTCGAGTATATATAATTTTTTTCTTCTCCTCTCCGTGACGAGCGACGAACGTGTCTGGTCGCCGCCGTCCGTTGTTATACATATTATACACGTGACGACGACCGACGACCGACGACGACGGTTAACTTTTTTACTATTTTTTTTTTTTTTTTATACTTCGAGCACGTTTGTACAAATACAAAATTTCGTATAATAACTTATACATACGTTTCGGTACGCACACACACTCACACACACACACACATCGCTGCTGTTCACGAACACGATTATTATTCGATACGAATACCGTTGAAATGGAAAAAAATATACCAGCCGGGTGAGGGGAGGAGACCCGCATCCACGCAGCATAATATCGCGGTCGATCGCACAAAACAATTATTATTATTATTATTATTATTATTATTATTTGAATATTGACGCGGCGACCGAACCAAAGAGATATCGGTGTTTTATTGCCGAGTAAGCTATCGATGGGGAGGTGTGGGGGGGATCGAACGTATCGGGGCGTTGGCGGCGCGTTCTAGTGGTGGAGGTGGAGGTGGTGGTGTGTCCGGATCGGACCGCGGCCGTACACGATTATAAATATTATAATAAATGGTAATAATACTAAATAGTAATAATAATAAAGAGACCCACGGCCGTTCTGTGACCACGCGAATACTCCGTAGGCATATCGACAATTGTATGATATTAATAATAATAATAACAACAATAATATATTATTCGACCGGGTAAACGGTAATGAGACCGCTCGTCAGAAGAGCCAGAGACGGGCAGAGGATCGCGTCGGGGGCCCCCGTCGGACACAGCGCCGAACACCGGCGCGAAGAGCATATGTGTCGATGAAGACGATGGGAACGATCGGTTGCAGTAATAATAATAATAATAATAATAATAATAACGATATAACGATGACTCGGCGGATGTGAAAACGGACCACACGTCATGCGGCGACGGCGGCGGCGGGTGTATAATAAGAGCACACTGTTAATTACCACGGTCGTATAATATTGTGTTTACAGAGGCAGTATAAGAGAGTAAAATAATATATATTATCGCGCGTATGTGTGAGTGCGTGTGTGTTACAGTCGACGACGAACATGTGTGGACGACGAAATTTATGGAACGAATAAATATTATTATGACGGCAAGCGGTGAGGGGTGGGGGGAAGCTGGAGAGAGGCGAATCGTCGGCGGAGCGACGCGCGGGGTTTCGACGACGTCGACGACATCATGCTGGTTGCGCGATGATGAAACGGCTCTGGAATGTCGGTGGACGGGAGATGAGAACCGGGGGATGGTGGTGGCATTGGTTGTTCGGCAGATGACTAAACGGCGGCGGCGGCGTACTCGTCCGACGACGTTCTGTCGCTTTTATATACGCTGATGCTGTAAGCTGTTGTATAGTCGCGTAGCGCGGCGATATAGTTGCGACGCAGCGAAAGATGCCGAAGACGACGACGAGTATGAGGAGGAGGAGGAGGAGGAGGAGGAACGAGGGTAAGAGGACGACGGCGCGCGCTATTTAGGTAATTTTTTATTTTTTTTTTGCTTTCCACCGCCGCCGGTGCGGGCGTAGAGGCGTCGGCGGGGAACCAGAAGAGGTGACATCATCGCGGACCGCGCGCGCTAGAGATAGAGAGAGAGAACTCGCCGCGACCTCTGCAGCGCGAGCGCGTGTCTCATCGCCGTGCGATCGGAGCACAGTACGAACACTACGAACGCCGCGCGCGCGCACACACGCGCACGCGCGCGCACATCATTAATAACACGTATATTTAGATACGTCGCGAGTAGTACTGTACACGGCACGCCGTTGCATGCCATCGGAGTGTACTCGCATGGCATGGGAGGGAAGAACGTGCACGTCACACAATAATATTGTACTGTATTGCATTGCGTTCGGTGTAAATGATATGCACACAGAC